CCAAATGAAGGTCTCCTATTTTCCTTTCCATCATGAACCAGTGATTTCAGGCCATTTAAGTAGCAATTAAATAGCTTCAAAAGTGAATCTGACTCATTAAACACCCAATTGTCTGGGAAAAATTGGGCCTAAATGAAAGCAAGCCCTTCCTATTCTTTTTAAAAGCATAAACGCTGTTTATTAGGGCTTTTTCTTTTTTGATTGCATAAGTGATAGCTGAATATACTCCTTAAAAAAACCCCATATACCTAAAGATAAAATTCTTCTTGATCATACCCCACACCCTTGTTCCCTCCCTTTCTCTCCAGAAGTAACTGCTGTTAACAATTTGATATGCATCTACTAGAACTATGTGTCTGCATTTATGTATCTACCTACATACATGTGTGTCTGTGTGTGTATACAGCTATTACATATTTGGTATGTGGCCTTCTAAAACTCACTCTCTGCAATTATATGAATATACGTACCCATTACATTGTATTCTATTGTTTTATAGGTTTTCTTGTGTAGATACTGTAATGTCATATTTCAGGCATTATTCTGCAACTTGTGTTTTTCTCTCACAGCCCAGATCCAAGTCCTCAGCAAATCATGTCAGCTCTTCCTGAAAACTATTAACAGGTCCAGAATCCGACAACTTGCTTGCTGGTGTATCTCTACTGCTAGAACGCAGAACAGGTACTCAGTAAAATTTGTTGAATGAATGAAATGTGTGTTTCACGGATCTTTCTGCTTTGGTCCATTTTCGCTGCCTCAGAGTGTTCAGTCGTTTGAAAACGACAGAATATATACCATCATTCATGTCACCCCGGCCTGCTTACCACGTTCCCAGCGTAGTACACTGCTGGAACCCTTTGAAGTCTTTCAACCTTTCTCAAGGTTTCCCGATGCAACTGGAAACCTCCATGGCGGAGTTGCAGAGTTGGTTCCCAGAGCATCCTCTTCCCTAGGTCAAGGCCCCAGAAGCTGATTAAATTTTTTGTTTGCGCCAGTAGGAAGAGGAAAATGGAAAGGTATGTGCTCTGAGTGGCCAGGTGAGTCCCGAGCGCCAGCCTGGCTGTGCCACCCTGTGTGATCTGGGGCTCTGTGGTTAGATTTCCGGCAACAGTGTCAAAACTGCCAGGCTTGGCAGGGGCCGGAGGCTGGACGGGTTACGGGAAAAGTCACGCAGAGGCGACCCGGGTGTGCTGGCAGCAGAGGCCCCCCTGCACTCAAATGCCCACAGGGCAGAAAGAAGAGGCACAGGCTGGGTGAGGACACGGGGTGGGGTTGGGGGGCAGTGAGGACCACGCGGACCCGGAGAACACAGGCCAGCCGAGCCAAGCAGGAATAGAAGCCCCATGTTGCCAGATCTCCACACTGCTTATTTTCCAGAGAATCAGGAAACGGACCTTTCTGTGATATTTCCTGATTTTTAAGTATTGCTCCGAAAATTTAAAAAATACCAGGTGATCGGACAAAACATGTTGGAAAATAGGATCCCGCCCATTCCCCCCCCCCACACACACACACCCACTCCTGGGCTACCTGTTTACAACTCTGTGGTTTAGCAAAATGTTTCAGAACATGGACTTTGGTCCTGTTCTTTGGGCTTTGCCGCCGTCTGGACAAGTTCCTTGACATCTCCAGGCCTGTTTGTCTGTAAAATGGCAACAAAAATTAAAACTACCTCATATGTTTGGGAGGCTGAAGGAGACTTAGCAAATAGTACTGCAATGGGATAGTAGTAGTAGTATGGGGGGGGATGGGCAAAGGGCTGAGGAATATTGTGGAAAGAAAGAGGGATAATAAAAGGGACATGCATAGTGACATGTCTGCTGGCATGTGTGGTCAGAGGCTAGGGAGCTCCGGGGCTTGCAGTGGCCTGGAGAATGAGACTTTGATTAAGAAATGAGATAAGGTTTCTGCCACCCAAGCCAGCGACCCATCGCCTGGGGCCTCCGGACCTGCAGGTGGCGCTGCGCCTCTGGGCGGCTCCTTACTCTCTATCCCAGGGGGTGGCACATAACGCTGGCTAGCCCGTCCCTTTCTGTGCTTAGGCAAGGAGTCGCCCGTCCCAGCCTAGTTGTTGGACTTTACATCTGTGCTTTTTGTAGTTTATATTCTTAGTTTGAGGCCAGACATTCCAGTCTGTCAAGATTCTGTAAATAGATGTATTAGCTGTCCCTCCTGACTTCCTTCTTGTGCAGCGTAGATAAAATTTTCACCAGAATCAGCTAGGAGACTCTTGGTTGCAAGCAACAGAAACCCCCAGATGGCTTAGCAAAAAAGAAATTTGTAGCCTCATACACCTGAAATGTCCAGAGGAGGGGGCTAACTTCGGGTATGGCCTTAGGTGGGTCACATGATGATATCAGGACCTAGTACCTCTTTGTCATTTTTCTGGGTGGGATCTATTCTTATATGGCCTCTTCCCAACTATAGCTCCCCACCTCAACAACTCCCAAACCAGTGGGACTTCCTGAGAGCTCAAAGAAAAAGTCCTTGTATAGAGTTTCACTGACCATAGTTAACCTGACTTGGGTCATGTTTCCTCCCGGGAACAAATCTCTATCCCAAGAGGAATACAATGTGCTGACTGCTAGGCATGGGCCACATCCACCCTGAATGAAATCAACACCCCCAAGATCAACATATAGACTAGTAGTGAAAAAGGGGTGGTGGCCCCAGAGCTAAATCAGGTACAGTTGTTATCTGAAGTAGAATGAATGGATGCTTGGTGTCCCCCAACTCCTGAAAAAAAAAAAAGAATATTCACCTTCTATGCAAAGTATTATTTAAATGATTGTTATAAAGGGCAATATGGCTTCATCATCTAACACTCTAATCACTAGAGCTGGTTAAGCTGATCTTCGATCTCCTTTCATATCTCATACTCTCCTGGAATTACACTAACCTGATTAAAGAAAGCAGAAGAACGATTTTTCACAATTGTATACAAATATTCAGTAGAACATTTTGAGGGCACGTAGAGACCTCTCAAACAAGTCATAAATCCATTCAGACCTGAATTCACCTGACTCCACCACGTCCAACATATCTTCATCTAGAAAAAGATTTTTTTTTTTTAATTTGGCCAAGTAATCCATAGTTCTAAACAACTGGCTAAAGTCCGTGTGACACTCTCTCTGATGCCTTCTGACTAGAGTCCCTCACAAAAAAGCTGGTTTGCTCTTCAGGAAGCCAAGCCAACCATGAAACACAACCCTTTTGGTTCATAATGCCTTAAAGTTTGTCAGCCTAGCATCAGCCAGTTTGGAGTTCCTAGACACCCCAAAACTCCAACTCCTGTACATTAGAAATCAGGACACAAAAGGAGGATGTCAGTTGCACAAAGCTGGTCACAGCAACACAATCCTACAGGGGACTCACTCTGAACATGTCCAACTACAGGGCCTGGCCAGGAAAACACTGTGTGACCCAAAAAGAAAAGCCTCAAAAATAACATGTATGGGGTTGAACCATATGAAACTGCTATTTCTGTAGGCCAATAATATGCAAATATCAACAATTGTATATGGTCACAAGTGTCTATGTTAGGGCAGCAGCAGTTTTCAAAGTGTGGTCCACAGACTCCTGGGACGTCCCAAAGACCCTTTCAAGAGGAACACGAAGTAAAAATAATTTTTGTAATAATACTAAAATGTTAATTTGTCTTTTTCATCATGCTGACGTTTACACTGCAAGTGCAAAAGCAATGGGGGATCAAATTATACTAGGCTGGATTCATTCCTTTATTCCAACTAAAACAACATATTGCAGCACATTTGAATGCAGGAGCAGATAGGAGGAACCAGGTATCTTTCATTAAGCCGGGGCATTAAAGAGATTTGCAAAAGTGCTAAACAGTGCCCTTCTTCCCACTGATACTTTTGGGAAATGTCAACATGTCATGGCTTTATTATTGTTACAAATGTAATGAATTAAGAAATATTTTTCAAGTGTAAGTTTTAATTTCTCCTATGGAATGTAGTAATAGCTATAATCCACATAAACAAAAACTCTCTGGGGTCTTCAATCATTTTTTTTTTATTTTTTTTTTATTTTTTTTTTCTTTTTTATGTCTAGAGAGGATGTGATTCAATCATTTTTAAACGTGCAAAAGATTCCTGAGACTAAAAACTCTGAGATCTCCATAGATCGTATTAGGACGATCTATGGAGAAACATACATGAAATGAAGTGTTATGGATATTGGCAAGAAAGCGGCTGAAACGAGGATCAGCAGAACCTTGACCGGAGGAGCAGAGAAGGTTGGCGTGGAAGGAAAGGAAGGACGGGAAGATTAGAGAAAGGGGGTGGGGGAGGGGAGGGCAGGGCCCGGGTTTCCTGTGGTCAACTGGGTGGAGCCAGAGGCCCAAAGCTGCAGGTGGGCTGTTTGAATTTCTAACGGGAAGGTCGGACCTAGAGGGATTGACAGCGATCAGGGAGTGACCTTAGAGGGCGGCGGCTGAGACCCAGGGAAGGAGAAGGTCACTCCGAAAGAAATCGGGGGTCAACTATTCATAATTCAGAGGTCGGGGTGCGGCGCAAGAACATTCCTGGGGAAGTCACCTGCATAGCCGCCCCCCTCCAAAATTCCCAGGGACGCGGTGCTCGCGGGGGTGCGGATGCGATGCGGGCGCGGTTGCCCAGGGGTGTGCGAAGTGTCTCGCGGAGGAGCGGGACGGGTACGCGCGCCGGGTGGGGCGGAATGCTCACCTACGTGGCCCGCCGTGCGTGGCGGGGGACGCGGGGCACAGCGTGCCTGTGCGGGACGCGCGGACGGGGGTGTGTGCGGGCCTGTGTGCGGCGCTGTGGGCGGGGCGGGAGTCCCGACGGGCGGAGGGAGACGGGCGTGCGTGCGCGCGGCGGGAGTGCGGCCCGCGGCGTCGGGGGGCGGGTGGGGGCGCCCGGCTGCAAGCTCCGCCCGCGGGCTCCCCCGGGGCTTCCCCGCCCCCGGCCTGCTCCCTCCCCCGCCGTCGGCCGCGCTCGCCGGCTGTCGCCGAGCCGCCGCCACTCGCCGCCGCCTCCCAGCGCGGCCGCCGCCTCCGCCGCAGTCGCCGCGCAGCCCAGCCGTCCCCGGTCGTCGCCCGAGCAGGTACGACGGCGGCCCCGGCCCGTCTGGTCCCCCCGCCCCGGGCGCGCGCTCGCCTGTCCCGGCCTCAGTTTCCCACCGGGGGGCGCTTGGGTGCCCGGCCCGGGGACTGAGCCGGTGGGGGGCGCGGGCAGGGCTGTCGGGTGAGAGAAGCCCCGGTGTGCGGGCGCGGGCTGGGGCTCGGGTCCGCGAGGGTCGGGGCTGGCGGAGAGGGCTCGCGCCGAGGGGCGGGCTGAGATGTGGTTTGAGAGGTGACAGCCGCGAACTTGAGCCCGCGAGCGACGCCCCGGGCGCCGCGGAGCAGAGCGCTTTACTGGAATGAGTAAGCGACCGGACCCCACCCACGCCGCATCCGGTGAGGTGGGCTCTCCTGGCGTCCCCACTTTACAGAGGAGAAAACTGAGGGTGAGAGAGAGGACGAAGCTTCCCTAGGTCCCAGTGACAAGATGCTGAGCCCAGATTTGAACCCAGGGAGTCTGACCGCCCCCCCCCAGCCTGCCTCTGTCAGCCCGCCTCCTCTGAGGAGCAGGAGTTTTTGCTCCAAGCGTCCCCTTTAGGGCGGTGCTGGGGAGGAGGTCGGACACGAAGCCCTGCAGTCTGTCCGCCTGAGGACTGCAGCGCTGAGTTTATGTCGTGCCCTTAGGTGTGCTGGGGGGGAGAATGTCGTGTCGCTTAGGTGTGCTGGGGGCGGGTGGGGGGAGGGGGAGAATGTCGTGTCGCTTAGGTGTGCTGGGGGGGAGTAGGGGACACCAAGGTGTGGGGTACAGAGTGAAGTCCTTACCCCTCTAGCGTGGACGGAGAAACTGAGGCTGAGTTTAGGGAGGAAGCGGCTGAGGTTGTCCCATCCACAAGAGGCACAGCAGCTCCCCACCCCTCCTCCTCCACAACCAAGGCTGGCAATTGTCCCTGGCGCCCCGCCCTCGGGGAGTCCCTGGAGGACCTGTCTGAACATTCCCAGCGGCTGTGTATCCCTGTGGCCATGACACCCCTGAGCGACCCAACCTGCCTGCCCACCCAACTGTGTAACTCCCGGAGCAGTATACAGATCCACTCTCCCTCCTCTACTGCCTTCCAACCCCTGCCCCCCAGCTCCCGAAAGGTAATTGGGGGTGTTCCTTCTAGTCCTTTCCCTACACCTGTACAGTCGTATGCACGTGGCCATAGAAAATATGTAAAATATTTAGCAATGTTGTGGGCAGATAGTGGATAGAAATGCTGTGATCCATTTATATCATTCTGCATCTTGCTATATATCAAGTTATCATTTCTTTGGGAGTTATTCACGTTGCTGCATGTAAATCCAGCTTATTTATTTAAACCGTGGCATAGTTGTCCACCCTGGGTATGCCTACTGATGAGCATCGAGGTGACAGAAATGTTTGGACTGGTTTTTATTTCAGCTTCTTCTACAAACTGATATCCCTGGGTTAAGTTCAATTTCCTGTTCTTTGTCCTAAAACACACACACACACACACACCCCTCTATTCTGTCTGTCTGTGGCCAAGGACAACACCACACATGCTCCCTCCAGCTGCAGTCTCCACTGAGCCCTGTGGGCTCTGCCTGTCCTGTGTGCAGAGGTCCCGTGGTGGGCCAGCTCCAGGGCTTCTCTCTAGATGCCCCCAAGGCCACCCCTGTCCTCCAGTATGAGGCGGAAGGACTTAGGAACCAAAGTCTGACAGAGTGGAGTGACCAGCGTCCTGTTTGTGTACCACAAACTTTCCAGGCCCGGGTTGTGGCCATAAGGAGAGAGCGTTTGCCCTGGAATTCATGACAGAACCATCACAAGTTTGGTGGAATGCCCTGATGACAGTCAAGGGGATGAAACGCCAGAATCAGAGATGCTTGCGTTACAATCGCAACTTCAGCACTGCCTAGCTCGGGAAGTTCCCTTCCCTTCTCTGAGACACAGTTTTCTCATCCATGAAAGAGACGTGATGATAATGGCAACATCTCCAAACTGTTGAGTAATGCAAACACACGGGGTGATGCAAACAAAACACCTAGGGCATCGTCAGCACCAGTAAGCAGAAAGTCTTGTCCTGGACAGGGGAGACCCACAGATGGCCCTGGGGTGGGATGATGCGGAGAGCCACCATTTGGGACTTCGTTCATGTCCTGAATGCAAGCCAGAAAGTACTAAGCACCAAGTGGGAGCTGAAATGAGATTTCTGAGTGTTGAGAGCCAAGCCAGCTCACCGTGGAGTCTAAAAGTGTCACAGAAGGCCAGGTGCAGTGGCTCACGCCTGTAATCCTAGCACTCTGGGAGGCCAAGGTGGGCAGATTGCAGGAGGTCAGGAGTTCGAAACCAGCCTGAGCGAGAGCGAGACCTCGTCTCTACTATAAATAGAAAGAAATTAATTGGCCAACTAATATATATAGAAAAAATTAGACAGGCATGGTGGCGCATGCCTGTAGTCCCAGCTACTCAGGAGGCTGAGGCAGAAGGATCGCTTGAGCCCAGGAGTTTGAGGTTGCTGTGAGCTAGGCTGAAGCCACGGCACTCACTCTAGCCTGGGCAACAAAGCGAGACTCTGTCTCAAAAAAAAAAGAAAGTAAAATAAAAGTGTCACAGCACTTACAAAGCGCTTGCTGTGTACCTGGTCGTGAGCTGGGACACAAAAATGAAGTGAGCTGAGGTGCCCGCCTTTGGAATACAAGAGACAGCAGAAGTCATGAAGAGGGCCTGCAGGTAGCTTTTGTGAAGCCCGTGCTCCTTTTTAACATTTTAGATTATTCTCAAGATTTTTAAAAATGGGAGATGTCATGTAAAACTTCATATTTCTGGATCCTCTTGAGAAATCAGAAAAGTTGGTGACCGGAGGCCCAATATTCAGCTGCCCCTTTAGATGGGGCAGGCACCCCGCATGCAGGCCACCACAGTCCCCACCTGGCTGAGCCCTCAGTCACTAACAGCGGGATAGTGTAAAAGTGAACAACACACACCCCACCGCCCGTCTCTGCCTCCTAGCTGAGCCACCGATTTGTTGAATGGTTTCAGGCAAAATGTTGAGCATTTTTGTGACTCCATTTCCTTACGTGTAAAATGGGGATGTGTGAAACCCTCAAAGGGTTATTTTTAGGCATTAGATGAGGCAATGCACATCAACCCCTCAGAACAGTGCCTGGGTCACAGTTAACACTAGCTGAATATTGGTGATGCTGTTGCTGATTATGGTGGTATTAACTGCCCGCTTGATCCCTGTAACGGTGCATTTGTGCTCCAAATCATACTCTGTATAAAATGCTGTGGAAGCATGGTGGTGGGGGGGAACATAACACTTTGAACCCCTTCTCTAAATAAGATGCTGCAATCCTAGATACATTTTCTGCCTAAGGACAGGAAGGGAACAACATTTCAAGGAAAGATACAAAGAGGAGGGGACTTCTAAGATGGGTTTTAAAGGATGCATAGGAGTTCTTCTGGAGCAGTGGGATAAGAAAGGCATTCTACACAGAGGAAACAACCTTTACAAAAGCCCAGAGGCGTGACCAAGTAAAGTATGTTTAGGAAGTGATGTAGTCTGATGTCACTTTGAAATAAGGCAAGTAGGAAGAACGGCAGGAAGATGAGTCTGGGGTGACAGAAAAGGAACGTGAGGCCATGATGGGGCTCGAAGCAGAAATAAGGGTGAGCATTCCTGAGTGACTACCGTGCTCAGGTGCTCTTATAATCACCACCCCTGCAATTGCCCGGCAATCAGGTTTTGTGATCTCCATTTCGCCGGTGAGGGAGACAGAGGCGTAGGAAAGGCAAGCCGCTTGTCCCGGATCTCACAGTGGGTCAGTGGTGGAGCCCGAGCCAGACGCCAGGTCTGTCTGGTCTAAAGCCCGTGCGCCCTCTCTGAGCCTTGGTCTTCTCATTGTAAAGTGGGAATAGTACTACTGAAACCTGCTGTCCAGTTGCGTTGGGTTAGATGAGAGAGTGAATGCACAGGACCGGCACATAGCAACTGCTGTTGTTATTTGGACTGGATTGAGTTCCTCCAGCCCTCTTGGCCAAACTCACACCCTGACCTAGCCTCAGATGGGGGAGCTCAGGGAGGGAGTCACCCAGGCCAGTGGGTCTCAAAGTATAGTCCTCCGACCAGCAGCATGGAGCACCGCTGCCTGGAGCATTGTCAGAAATGCAGATTCTTGGCCAGGTTGGTAGCTCACGCCTGTAATTCTAGCACTCTGGGAGGCCAAGCCAGGAGGATCCCTTGAGGCCAGGAGTTCAAGACCAGCCTGAGTGAGACGCCCCGTTCTACAAAAAATCGAAAAATTAACTGGGCGTTAGTGGTGCGTGCCTGTAGTCCCAGCTACTCGGGAGGCTGAAGCAGGAGGATCGCTTGAGCCCAGGAGTTTGAGGTTGCAGTGAACTACAATGACACCACTGCACTGTAGCCTGGGTGACAGAGCAATACTCTGTCTAAAAACAAAACAAAAAATAATACCCTCCTAGTGATTCGGTATCACAAGACAAAGGCACGACGACGTCCCTCTCAGCCCTGGCGCCACGAAGGACCATATCTTTCCAGAGAGGGAAGTTACTGAGGGGCCTAGTGGATGGAATTCCTGGGATAATCGCTCTCCTTCCTAGTCTTACAGCTTCCAGTCTGCCCACCTTGAGGGCCTGGGGCGAAATTTGACTGTTAGAGGTGCTGTTTCCAGGCGAGGCATGCCCCAGGCAGCTGGGGACCTGCCCCGACCCCACCAGCACCTATAGAAAGCCTGTTCTCAGAGCCTCCCTGTGCCTGTGCGCCTGCACGAGGTCTCCTCTGGCCCCCAAGAGAATGTGTGTCCAGGCCCAGGTCCTGAGCAGTGGGAAATGAGCCCGTGGCCGCGCAACAGGACCATTGCAGGGTCCCCAGGTCAGGTGACAAGGCGGTAAACCCAGGTGGGGGATGGTCATGTCCTGCTGAGAACCACCAATCAGGAAGCAGGCCCCCTCCCCCTCTGCACACCCTCTTGGGAACACTAAGTCTCAGTAAGGAGGCAGGACGGGCTAAAGTGAGGAAGC